CAGGGATCATGGGTGACAGGGGTGTTCCAGGGATCAGGGGTAACCCGGGGGACAGGGGTGTCTGGGGTGCTCTAGGGGTCAGGGTGTCCCAGAGGTCAGGGATAACCTGGGGGTCAGGGGAGCCCCGGGGGTCAGAGCTGTCCAGAGGGCCAGGGGTTAGGGTGAGGAGTCAGGGGTGCCCCAGGGATCAGGAGTGTTCCAGGAATCAGGGATAACCTGGGGGTCAGGAGTGTTCCAGGGATCAGGGATAACCTGGGGATCAGGGATAACCTGGGGGTCAGGGGTGCCCCAGGGATCAGGGGCATCCTGGGGGTCAGGGATAACAGGGGTGTCCCAGGTGCCAGCAGTGCCCAAGGGGGTCAGGAGTGTCCCAGAGATCAGGGGTGTTCCAGGGATCCGGGTTGTCCTGGGGGTCAGGGAATGTATTCCAAGGGTCAGGGTGTCCCAGGGGTCAGGGATAACAGGGGTGTCCCAGGTGCCAGCAGTGCCCAAGGGGGTCAGGAGTGCCCCAGAGATCAGGAGTGTTCCAGGGATCATGGGTGTCTGGGGTGTTCCAGGGATCAGGGGTGTCCCGGCGATCAGGAGTGGCCTTGGGGTTGGGATAACCCAGGGGACAGGGACATCCTGGGGGTCAGGGGTGCCCCAGGATGCCAGGGGTGCCCCAGGGGACAGGGATAACCCAGGGTTCAGGAGTGTCCCAGGCACCAGCAGGGCCTTGGGGGGGTCAGGGATAACCCAGAGGTCAGGGATGCCCTGGCGGTCACAGGTGCCCCAGGGGTTAGGGCGCCTGCAGCACCCCGGGGGCCAGGGGTGCCCTGAGGGTCAGGGATAACCCAGAGGTCAGGGCTGTCCCAGGGGTCAGAGGTGCCCCAGAGGTCAGGGGATGACCCTGGCAGGAGAGCAGACTCCCAGGGTGCCCCTGACCCTGGCCAGCAGTGACGGGCACAGGAACCAAATGCCACCAGCACATCCTTTCCAAAACACATCCAGGTTCTACTGAACGTGCCTTCTCCCATTCAAAGAGATAAAGAACTTTGTTCCCCATGGAAAAGCTGATGTCCCAGCCCAGGCCCCCCAGATAAGCAGCCACTCACTGCAGTCTGTGCTGTGATGTGGGTACAGCCCACAATTTTAGCTCCAGCCAAAGGCTTCTCCCCCTGGGCTCGTTTCCTGAGCGAAATCAGAGCAGACATGTCTGCAAAAGGAAGAGAGGTTTTAATGCTGGTTCAGTCTGCAGGGCCCCCTCTCTGCCACAGCTCCCCTCCTTTCAGGGCCTCCCAGGGTACCTCCAGCCCCAACATTTCTGCTGAAGCTGTTACACAGACAGGAAGAAAGCTCCTCATCCCTGGCCTGGCAGGTCTGTGCAAAACGGGACCAAACACCAGTGTCATTTGTCACTTGACCAAGGGACAAGGAGAGAGGCAAGGAGGGGTCTGGGACTGGCACTGCCTGGGGAAGGCTCCTAAGGACAGTCACCAGCCCTGGGGCAGCAGGTGAAGCACCTGAACTTGAAAACAGAGCTGCCACATCTCAGAAGAGCTGCTCTAGATGTGTCTGGATTATCTTCCCCTTCTAAAAGGAGAGTTACCCAATCACCCCACTGGAAATGGTAATTCAGCTTCCTACCACCCCCACAGGAAGGGGTGGGATTTTCAGCTTTGATAACTCTGAAAGTGTTACAAAATCCTTGTCCATCCAAAGCCAACAAAACATTAAACCCTGCAAGAGTTCTGCTCCTGCTGGAAAAGGGAGGGGACGCAGCATCAGCATTTGCTGGCACACCTCACTCATTTTGGGGGGAGGAAACAGGACATCCAAGGCTATAGCAGGAGTGGGAATCGCCACTCCTCAGCTCCTGGGGTCCAGAACCTGCCCTAGGCCCAGCAGCCCCACCCTCCACTCTGTACCTTGCTCGGCGATCTCAATCTCGCGGCGCCCGAACTCTGCCTGTTTGATGTTCTTCACACAGAAATTGCTGCTGCCCTTGGAGTTGGTTTGCTGCTTCTCTCGAGGGGACACCTCATCATCAGAGCTGTCTGTGTATGAGGCAGCTAAACCAAAAGAGCAATGAATGAGTGTTATGCCAGGCCTTATGAACCCAGCAACCTCCTACCCTTCAGGTTTCTGTTCTGTTTCCCTTCCCAGCTTTGACTCATGGCTCAAACTACCAAGCTCCTAAGGAAAGCCAATGCCCTGAAGGAATTTTGCACTCTTTTTCTCTAGAACAGCCCAGAGGTAACAATTATCAACTGGCAATCAATCAATGCCTGAGCTTTGGGAATGCCTGGAATCATTCCCTTAGCACCCAAGTACAAGCAGCAGCACAAATCCTGCCTCAGGGTGTGAGCAGCACATTCAGTGCAGCACCCACGCTGGGTTTTTGAGAGGAACACACAAGGACAAGGAGCTGGCACCTACCAGAGCTGTAGCTGTCAGTGGAAGACTGGGAGATGGAGCGGGACAGGGACCGACGGCCCGTCTTGGTCGGGAATTTGGTGAACTCCTGCATGTCATCTGCAAACTGGATTTGCTGGGAGCAAAGGAAAGAAATGTGAAATCAGGATGTGATCCTCAGGGCATGGCACCTCTCCAAACTACAGGGAGCCACAGATCCCTTCAGTCCACAAAAATTACCATCACCAAATACAAGGCTAAAGATGCCAAAAATTAAATCCCACCAGGTTTTTGTCACTCTGGAAATTTGACACATCTGAAGATAAAGAGCACCCTGAAACATCCCCTTTAATCCATTCCCAGCTCCCTAAGGCTCCTTTAGGAATTACACTCCTTGCACAACCCACATCCCAAGTGGAGGCAGAGCCCCTGCCCTAACCAATCCCAGCAGATTTCTGCCCAAAAACGCAGCAGCAAGAAAGCTGAGGTGGTCCCAACATATCCCTGGTGATTCCAGGCTCTTCCCCAGGAGCAGAGCATCCCACAGGTTAAAAACACCGCACATCCTTCCAAAACTGACACTAAAAGCACACAAAAAAACCTCAGCAAGAGAGAACATTTCAACAAAAAGAAGTTGACATTGCATTGGCTTTCAGCCTCCTCTGCAGGACAAGATGTTTCCATTGGAAGAGAACCCCCAAAACAGCCACCTCTCTCAGCCAGAGGCAACTCAAAGCTCCAGCACCTTCTACCAGATCATCAAATTTAACTGTGTTGGGCCAAAAAAAAAAGGAAAAATAACCCAAAACTGCTCAGCTGCTGTGCTCACCCTGAGTGAGCCTTACTGCTGCTCCTGCCAGTGCAAGGCAACAGAGATGAAAGGGAATCGGGGAAAGCAGCAGCAAGCCCAGCCTGCAGCCCCCTCCCTGCTGCCATGCAGGAAACCCTGACAAAGAACCCCAGCACGGCCCCTTCCCTCAGATCATGTCACTGCAGGATTTAATTTTGCCATTTAACAGGGATGAGACGTCATGGCAGGGAGTGGGATTAACAAAGCATCCCCGAGACCCAGGAGACCTTGAGAGGAGTCCTAGAGAAATCAAGATGATGGAAAGAGACAGCCCAGAACAGCCACAAGGAGGGGCTTGCAGTGCCACAGCCATCCCAAAAGCTCCCTGAAAGCTTTGATGCAGCAAACAGCCTTCAGAGGGGAGAAGAATGAAAGTATTTCGTTGAAATGATCCATTCCAGAAAAGAGCAATCTGCACAGGCTGGAGTTGGGGTGCCTGCAGCACCAGGACAGATTTTAGGGCTGGAAAACGTTGCCACAATCCTACAGAATCCCAGGAGATGGGCCAAAACCAGCATGGTATTCCACCTGGGAAGGGACAAGGGGGCATGAAACCCATGGCTCACTCCAAGGGAGGGCAGGAGGGACGATGTGGGACCCCAGCATCCCTTCCAGGAACTGACTGGCACAGAGAGATCCATCACCACACCCAGCCAAGCACCCCAGGCATTCCTGTGGGTGCTGCTGCTGCAAGGTTTCCAGGCAGCTCCTCCACCCTGGACACACCACAGCCCAGTACCTGCTTCCCCAACCAGGCCTCCCAGCAGAGTTCAGTTGGATTCTGATGGAAACTATTTAATTTGTACTAGTGGAAAGGAATAGGAAGGATAAATGGAGATAGAAGGTTTGGTTTTGCAATTGTTTGAGGTCATTTGGTGCAGAGGGAGGATGAGGAGGGCACCACAACCTCCATCCCCATGGGGGAACAGAGGGAGGATGCAAAGAGCAGGATCCAGAGGGCATCCCAACCCTATCCCACAGGAGAGCAGAGGGAGGATGAGGAGGGCAGGATCCAGAGGGCATCCCAGCCCTGTCCCACAGGAGAGCAGAGGGAGGATGCAGAGGACACCACAATCCTCATCCCTGGGGGAATTTAGAGGGCAGATCTGGAGGACATTTATACCTCCATCCCCATGGGGGAACAGAGGGAGGATGCAAAGAGCAAGATCCAGAGGCCATCCCGACCCTATCCCACAGGAGAGCAGAGGGAGGATGCAGAGGAGACCACAACACTCATCCCTGTGGGAATTTAGAGGGAAGATCTGGAGGGCATTGAAACCTCCAACCCCATGAGGGAGCATAAGCAGGATGTAGAGGGCAGGATCCAGAGGGCACCACAACCTTATCCCACAGAAGAGCAGAGGGAGGTTGAGGAGGGCAGGATCCAGAGGGCACCCAACCCTGTCCCACAGGAGAGCAGAGGGAGGATGAAGAGGAGACCACAACACTCATCCCTGTGGGAAATCAGAGGGAAGATCTGGAGGGCATTGAAACCTCCACCCCCATGGGGAAGCAGAAGGATGAACCAGAGGAGACCACAACTCCCATCCCCACAGGGAAGTTGGTTCTGGGATTGCAGCACTTCCAGGCAGGTACCAATATTGTGCTCAGGGTGTGTGGCAGGAGCTGGCACGATTCCCAACAAGGAATGGTGTGGCTGGAATTTGTTCAAGGTCTATTCCTGGGAACAATCTTCCCCACACAGCCTGGGATAGGCTTGTGCTACTTCCACACCAGTGTATTGCTCGTGGGCACTTCCAAGGAAGAAAAAGCATCAGCAATTTCAGGACACAAGATTTCCATGCCTTCACATCAAGCTCTTCCTCTGGCAGCTCATCAAACCAGAGGGTATAAAAAAAACCATTCCCCATAAAACAGCTGCTGGCATTAAAACAGCTTAAAGTGTTAGCTGAGGAATTTTCTGTGTCTCAGGGAAAGGTTTCCAGGGAAGAGGTGACCCAGGAGGGGGAAAAAACAAAAGCACAGTGCTCCAGCCCAGGGTGCAGGTCTGTCCTGGTTTGCAGCATCCAGGATGTGTGCTCTGGGGCAGGGCAATTCCCTTCTGGGAAATGTGTGCAGTGGAAAAGAGAGGATGGGACAGAACAATTCCCTTCAGGGAAATGTGCTGCCTGCATGGTCTCAAGGAGCAAAGTTCATTTGGGATGGAAGGAAAAGAGTGGAAGTGTAAAAGAGAGTATAGGACAGAGGGATGCTGCACTGCCCAGTCCCACAACATCCCACAAAATCCACCTCCCCTTCAGGGCTCCAGCTGTGAGTGCTGAGCCAGCTCTAAGGCACAACCCCACCCTGCAAGAGAAACAGCAGGTTTAGAAACACGGGAATGAGGGGATTGAATGCAAGGGGAGAGAAAAAGCAAGTGCTAAGCAAACCAAGTGCTGAATTACCCCAGTAATCCCCGCCGTGGCTTTACCAGGGCTCAGCTGAACTCCTCAGCTTAGCAAAATCTGTCCTGGCTAAAATTATCATCGAACACCACAAAGAGCACCCAAACCTGAGGAACCATGGCAGCATCCAAGCCCTCCTCTCCCGGGGGATCTCCTCTGTGTCTGCAGCACGAGGGGCAGCGCAGGAGCTGGGGCAGGAACCGGAGCAGAGGTGCATGACCAGTGCCCTCCACGTGCCCAGCTCGAGCTGCATTAAGGAGACAGAGAAAATCTCCTAATCCCTCTGCCTGTCAGGGGAGCTGGAATGAACAGCATTCCCAGCTGGGGGGCTGTGGGTTTTAGTGCTCCCTGGCTCAGCAGGATTGGGGCTGTCCAGCTCTCAGGAGCACGGTGATGAATTGTATCCCAAACTTCATCCTGCTGGAAGCAGCTTTTCCAAGCGGGTGGAGCACAAAGGTTTAAGTGCAAGGAAAATATTTTTTCATCCCAGAAATTCATGGTCAAGGAGGAAAAACAAGACAGCACCCACTTCTCTGCATAGGAATGAAGCCAGGGGTTTTCAGCATCACTGCCTGCAAAAGGAGAAGAAGGGGCTGGAGACCTAAGGGGCCAAATGAGCACTCAGAGCAGCAGGGATTTTGGGATATGTTCTGCAGGAAAACAGCAGGATCCACCATCTCCTGCCAAGTTCTTCCAGAGCATTGCTGGGCACTGCCTGCTCCCAGTGACACCAGCCAAGCCAGGAGGACATTTTCTCCCTTTGGGATATCCACTGCCACTGTGCCCATTCCCAGGCAGATCTGACATTTCCCAACAACCCACTCGTGTTCAGCCCAAACCAACCTTTCCATGGCTGGAGCTGAGGGAGCACTGTCCACCCTATTTGGCCACACATCCCAAACCACCAGGAAGCTGAAGACCAGCCTGAACAAGCTTCTCTCCAGGGCATAAGAAAAATCCACTGAGAGCATTGGTGGGGCAGCACCAAGCCCAGCAGCTCAAGTGTCCCCAGCACACACAGCCTCGTTTGTTTAATTATTACAACACAGGGAGGACAAACAGGTTGCAGGTCTGGATTGGTACCACCTCACCAAACTGGCAGCTCATGACTGCAGGGTGTGTCACCCTCCATGGCTGACCCCAAGCACCTTCCCAGTGGTCAGCCAGGAGAGCAGTGTTTGGAGCTGACAGAGTCAGAAAATTCCACTCCCAGGCTCCAGGATGAGCCCAGCATGTCACTCTCACACAGGACAATCCCACTTTTCATTTTAACACTTCTTCCATTCCCAGAACAGCTCCAGAGAGGTCATTTAAGTTCCTTTGTTGTGCTACACATCCCTGACTGCCTCCCATGCAGCCTTGGGGGAGAGCAGGAGCAGATTGTGGAAGGAACAGAGATTTTGGAAAGCATCCACCAACTCACAGCTGACATGGCTCATCAATGCACAGGCTCCACAGGGGAAAGGACACAGGCTGGGAAGCAGCTCCAGGCTCTATTCCTAGCACCCCCAGGTTTGCTTCAGCAATCCTTTTATTATCATTATTATTTATTATTAGGGACAATGTGAGCATCAGCACATCCGCAGCCATGGGAAAAGTGTCCTCCCAGCCAATTCTGTCGTGGATAAGTGGAGTGAGGACAGGAGCAGGCTCCACACATCACCCAAGATAAGCAGGAAGCAATGAACCATCTAAAACCCTCCAGACCTCTGCGTGTGACATCCGTGGATGTGAGGACACAGCGCAGTTGCCCAGGGAGGAGCAGCAAAATGGGAGCAGAGCACGTTCCTACAGCCACACAAGCACCTCTAAAGCAGAAGAGTCTCTGCAACCAACTTCTGTCCTCCCAGGAGAAAGCCTGGAAGCATCCAGAGTGCTGGGACCCTTCCTTGGGCTGCAGCAAACCAGCAGCAGG